CTAGGTTTACCCGTTTTAAATCTATAAAATTTATACTTAAAAGTAGAGTCTTTAGATAAATATTATTAAACTATATATTTTAGTAAGAGTATAAATATTCTAAACTTTTTTCGAAATATTTAAGTATTATAGTAATTTATTAAATAATTTTTATAACTTTATACTTTTAAAGCTTATACTATATATCTTTCTAATAAATATTATAGTTAGCTAATTTATTTTTAAACTAGTATATATAGTTTAAACTTTTAATAAGTCTCTAAGATAATAAACTATAATAAACTATTATTAATTATTATAATTATTTTTAGTCTTTATATTTTAAAGGCTTTATAAAAAGAATAATAATTAAGTATAATATCTTTATAGTCTAAATTATATTATATTATAACTTGTTATATATAAGATATTTAGATAAAAATAATAGCTTAAAGTATATATTTCCTTACGTAATACCTCTAGGTAGTAGCGGCTTATCCCGATATATTACGGCCGTGTTACTATTAAAAAGGCCCTCCCCTCTATCCTTAAGCTTATATTATAAACATTCTTAAACTTATAGTTTCGTCTCATTCCATGGCACGAAGATTGAATTCATGTTTGATCCGGGGAAACCCGGGGACTCAACGCCTCCGCAACTATCACCCCGCCGCGCTTCCACGGCCACCACGGAGTCAACTGATCGCGCGAAACCCGAAGGATTCCAACGCCCGGCTTGCCTAAACGGAGCAACAAGGAACAAAAGAATCGCGGAATAGCCTCTACTAAGAGAAGAAGATAAACATCAAATGGCTAGGGAAACACGCGCAACCAGCAAAAGGCGGGCCGCCAAACGCCACAACCTCACGGCTACCGGACGCATCAGACAGCCCTCCTCCTCTCCCGCCAAACAACCAACCTGATCTGCTACCAGTACTCCCAAACATTCCTCATCACCCTTTGCAACTCACCAACAACAACCCGAGTCCCCCGCCACCGCCGCTTCCTCCTCCTCCACCACCATCCACGAAGACGACTTCTGTCCTATCTGCCACCTCCTCCTTCACCGCCCCGTCCGCACCACCTGCTGCTCCCACGCCATCTGCCGCGCCTGCATGGCGCGCTGGGCCGACGTGTCGTCCACCAGCGCCACCATCGGCCGTCAGATGATCACCGTGCCCTTGACCGACGACTACCCGCCGCCCGAAGAGGACGCGGCAACGAGCGACCCACTGCTCACCGTTCTCGAGGAGGCGCGGTGTCCGATGTGCCGGACGGCGACGAGGGCGGTGAGGAGTGAGGCGTTGGAGAGGGTGTTGATGGAGAAGTATGCGGGGATGTATGGGAGGGATGGGGACGAGGACGAGGAGAATGAAGAGGAGGAGAGTGGAGAGGTGAGGATGATGACGGTGTTTGTGGGGAATAAGCATAAGTTGTTGGAGGGAGCGGGGGAAGGAGGAAACTGTCACGAGTGGACATTTTTCGTCCGGCCGGGGAACGTAGAGGTAGTGGAGGAGGTGCAGATTCTTCTGGTGGGTTTTTCCTTTTCTTCGTCCCTGTTCCTCCTTATCTTTCTTGTTGTGAAGAGTTCTTTGAGTTTTTCGTGCTACTGTGCCGGTATGCTTTTGTGAGCTCGGTCATTAAAGAATACTCTCTGAGGATGCGGGTCATCATCTTTGTATGGAACGATTTGACTGACGTGAAACATGCAAAGCACCCAAATTTCCGCCCGCCGCGCGTCATTCGAGCCTTGCCGCCGCATCAGATTACCCGACTCAGATAGGGCTACTTCACCGTCCAGGCTTACATTATCCTGAAGGCGGTATACACCTGGATCAGCGAAGACGCGCAGCCCTCGCCCGATTGTGTTGAGAAGGGAATGCTTCCTCTGGAATGGATGCTCAGCTTCGATGGTGAGGGGAGTATGGCCAGGTGCTGGCCAAAGTTCAAGCATGAGGTCTTGACTGAGGAAGGCAGTGACAGCAGCTACGACGACGACAGCGAGTATGAAGAGTGAGGAAAGTAAGTTTTTAAGAAGATCAACATGTAAACCGGATGAACCAAAAGAAAAAGAAAGAGAGGGAAAGACAGTTCTTAGGCCTAGTGTAGTTGTTCATTCTGTTTCTTCCATGCGGCAACTCCTTACCCAATTCCCACCCTTCTTCGTTGTCTTCGTCCTATAACCAGAGAAGGACTTTAAACGGGTTTACTCTACGTTACCCTCCCTTAGCAGATCCACAACATTACGAGAGCTTATTCTGTCACTTCTAAGCTTTCCAGTAGGGGTTTACTCATCAACTAACAAGCAGAGCTATACTGGTGAAGCTTTAATCACGCACTGTAGCTAAAAGGCTGCAACGGCAAATCAAGAAGTGAAAACAATCATAGAAAGATCGAATGCGATTGAATTACTTGACAAAATATGTTCGATCTTCTAGACTTCTAAGCAACTTTGCGCCCCCTCCGCTCCCTGAAGGATTGCCCCTAACGGCATATTCCACTAGATACTTAGCCTCCGCCCAGGGCCATGATGTGGTGTATTTAGCAGCCGGCGTACAGAGCTACAGACGCAATGAGTCAGCGAGAAGTCTTTGCAAAGTAAAACAGGGGGGCTTCCGTAAGGGGGGAACGTCGGGTCCAAGCCAACTAATCACTTACCCTGAGCGTACAGAGTGTACGTATCAGCATGGTTCAAGTTCTGGGCCGCGGTCAAAGAGCGGACGAAGTTGTACCCGTAGCCGCCGTAGTCGGAGGTGCCCCTGATCTGGGTGAGGTGGGTCATCTCGTGCAGGATGGTGGTCTGCTGGTCCTGATCATGGCAGGCGGAGCTGGTCGGGGAGAGGGCGGAGAAGAAGAGCGGACAGTTGACCATGATGCTGGTGGAAGGTTGCGTGTAGGCCAGGACGCCGTTGCTGCACGCGCCGAGCACGTCGTTGCAGTAGTAGCGCGACGAGCCTGACGTCGTGCTACCGCACTCGCTGACAATGCGGCCGAAGACGGCGGCCACGGTGCTACGCGTCGACGTCGACGTCGACTTGAAGTACTCCTGGAACTTGGTGGCAGAGCCAGAGGACGCGGCGGTTTGTGCGCGTTGGGCGAGCGAGCGGCAGGCCGAGATGGCGTTGCGCGTGGCGGTGCCCTGCGAGCCGGTGCAGGAGGACTGCACGATGGTGCGCTTGATATTCTCGTGGAAGGACTCACGCACGGCCTTGGCAGCGGCGCCGTCGACCGAAGTCGAGACAACGTTGCTGGTGAAGGGAACGACGCCGGTGATGACGGTCGAGTCGGCATCGGCGTAGGAAAAGGCGCCCTGGCTCAGCAGTTCGACGGCACCGCCCTCGCTCAGGTCATGCGTCTCGGCGGCATCGAACTCGACTTCGATGGTCTCGCCGGCGGCGATGCTCTGAAAGGCCTCCTCGGTCAGGCCCTGGGTAGAGATCTGGTAGCGAATGCCGTCGAAGGTAACCTGCTTGTCTACCGGGGATGTGTCAGCAACAATGGGTTGTGGGAGGACGTGATGCGTGGAAGACCGGCTGTTTACGTACCAGCAGCGTGGACCTCAACCTTCTCGACCGGCTGCTCATCCAAGAGCGTGCCGACCTTGAACAGCTTGAGAGCGGAGGCGCCGGTGTTGGTAATCGAAGCTTTAACACCGGTGTTGCCAAGGAGCTCGAGCTTGACCTCCAGAGGAGTGTCGCGCTTGTTGACATCAATGGAAACGGCGGCGGCCAGAGAGGCCAGGAAAGACAAGCCGGCGATGAACTTCATGATGAACGGTTTGAGACCAGAGGCGAGGAAGGCTAGAGGACTGCTTTGCTGATGGGCACAGTAATTCGGCGAGAAGCAGAGCCCGCTTTATACTTCAAATCCTCGAGGACCGTGAATGCATCTGGTCCTGAGACCGAAATGGCCAAGAGACGGACCAGGCGCAAAACAGAAGGAAGAAACGCAGAGTGGTTTGATGCGATAAAGGTCCATGGTGTATCGTGTGGGGGGGTGATGTTGATCACGTCCGCAGCCCCAAGCATTGAATGGCAGGGCTGGTGTACTAGCCAAGAGACTATACGAAGCAAAGTCTCTGGGCACCCATCCGGAGATGCACGACTGAAGACTTCGTCCGGTGCCAATGCTCTGGTGCCAGTGTCTTTGAGCGATTCGGCGTGCCATGTCTGTGTACAGTTGTAGACTTTCGAATGACTTTACTGCATTGAGAGCAAGGCTGTTGTCTCCAAGATCGCATTGGCTATGTGGTCACCCATTTAGGCGGTCTGATGGGGACGTCTTTCTACATAACACGAAAGTAGCCTGAGAGCATACGCTCTCACCTTGTGGCGAGTTGACACTATGCTTCGATTCCAAGAACGAGTGATTTGGCGATGGACCAAAAGTGCTCATGTTGGTTAGTGAAGGCCAGAACAGGACTTCCGGAAACGACGGACATTGGCCTTTTCCCTGTCAGGCAGGCGGAAGAATAAGGAGTTAATGCTCCGAAGGTCTGGGGGAGCGGAGAGCTTGGCGGCTAACGTTCAAGGTGCCAAGGTGTGCCGCGGAGGGTTGGCGGGATGTTGGCGGAGGATGATAAGGCCGGAGCTTGGCATGGGCATCGCTGGCTGCCGCCTCAGCGCTCTTCTTCTCCTCCATGGCGTTATCGAGGCAAAATTGCGCCATCCAACCAGAAGCAGCGAATCTAGCTTCAACCGGCGTCCCGTGTCTTGGACTCCGCCGAGAGATGGCGTGTGCCGTTCGTACCGTCCCATCACCTTCCCTTTTCATGTGGCGCGCAGGCATAAGCCTTCTTTCGTGTCCGGCCTTGGCACCCCATCTTGATTGACGACTCTTGTACCTGCTTGTTTGGTCTTGACATGTCCCCGTCCAGCCCATGTCAGGTGCTAAAATCGTAGCGCTTGTCTCGAGGTACTGGTTAGACGCTCGGCGATTGGGCGAACACATCCCGATTGGCCTTGGTAGCGCTCTCTGCATGTCGAGAACCATCGAAAGACTTCGAGGATTCCTTGTCTCAGCCAATGAGAATTGGGGAACATTGGACGCTAGAAGATGGGATACGGGCTTGGTCGAAAATATACACGGATGTCAGGCCTTGGTATGACCTTTCGCTTGCCTTGATGTAGAAGCTGAAGGGCCGCGAGCGGGGCGCCGAGGGATTCAACGAATGATGTAGACAAGAAGATAGCGACGATGATAGTGGACAAGTAGAAACTACGGGAAGTAGTCAAGCGCGACGACGATCCTCGGAGACTGGAAGTGGGGCAGCTCCGACAGGTAAAAGTTGGCTTGGAAGATGAACCCATTAGGTCATCAAAACAGATATTCCAAGAGCCTCGTAGCAGCGCTTGAACTTGTGAAGCTCTTCCGACAGGTTGATGATGCCGTCCTTGCTGATACCCTAACCTTTCCCGAATTCGATGCGTTCCATGGCCGGGGCAAACTTTCCCCCACTGTACATCATGGCTTTTAAAACGTACGCTTTGAACTCGTCCTCGCTATATCGGCTGTTCAAGCCCATCGCACCAAACCCACCTTTCCAGCCTCCGATCTTCATAGTTTTCAGGCTTGGAGGGAACATTTCTTGAAAGGTAGTCTCGCGTGAGATGGTATACGATACGAAGTTGTACCCGAACCACGAGTCGAGGTCGGCAGATACGTATTCAAGGGCAGTCATGTGCCTCAGTCGTAGGGACTGTTCGCACGGCTGTCCGTGTTCTTTGATCAGGACGAGCACCTTGAGCGTCGTAGACACTGGTTCCAAAGCCTGGTCGTAGCCACTGATGTCCCACCCCCACTCGTAAATCCCATGGGGGCTCATGGAGTGAATTACAAGCTCTTGAAGGTTCTCCATGGCTAACATAAGGTTGTAGAGGGAGGTGGGATCGATGTATGAGCTGAAGAAACGGAGCGTTCGAAGTTTTGATATGGTGCCTGCATCGTCATTGAATAAACCGTCGTTGGTATTGATGTTGTGAAGAGTCAGGGTTGTCAACGTCGGCCAGGTAAGGAGAGTTTCGAGATGAGCAAGGTTGACATGGTAAGGGTCACGAGTTCTGATGTTGATTTCGCCTGAGATGATGACTTAAGTATAAGCGGAAGACACCTGGTCGGATGGAGCACTTACACGTTGTCAGCAATGGCAGGTGACCAGCGGTTCTCAACGCACCGCTGATGTCAAGAGCGGATATGTGAGCTATGGATGCATCAACAACGAGAGATGCAAGTTTTGAGAAATCTTCCAGAAGGTCAAGTCCCGAGCTTGGAGACTCTTCCTCTGCCCCGATCTCGTCGCGGTAGATTTCAAAGCGCCGCACCAATTTTGCATGTGCTGGGTTCTGAGCGAGAGCCTGACGGAAGGACAAAAGCCGCTCCTGGCTCCGAGTGACGACTGAGTGATAAAGGTGTGGCTCGACTATTGAGTGAAGGAGCTTGCATGCGCAAGCTATGGGCAGCAAGTCCTCTCTTTGGACATTGTCGAAAACGAGGCCGAGAAGCTCAACAGGTAGTCGAATGAAGGAGCCACAGTTCTTCTTCGGCTGAACAGGTTGGAAATCCTGTTGTGGGGCCATGGAGCACTGATAGACTGGCTCTGTCGCGGAGGAGAAGGTTGGGCGTACGTGTTATCTCATAAATCAGACCCTCTTACGGGAGGATGCCAAGCGCCTGAATTGGGTTTAGCATAATATAGCAGATTAGCGCATCGTATATTAGCCAATTAAATCGCATCGTTATCCTCCTCTATAGGAGGATCTAAGTATATATAGGTCTAACTTTACGTATATCTATTATACCTCTACTAAGAAACGACACCCTCGTCTTTAGTAGTATACTTCTTACCACTAATACTATCGTAAGGCCCTAATAGTATATACGATTAACAGCCTAATTAATTTCCTATAGCTATAGGTAGGTATAAATCCTATCGGGCGGATACTAGCGGAGCTATCGAGCTTCTTAAGTAGCCCTTCTCTAAGCTCGCTCTTTTATTAATATATATCCTCTAATAGGCCTCCCGCTATTAACGATAACTCTAACGACGACGATAATATTCTTTTCGACTCTAATCTAGGCTCTAGCGATTCTAAGAACTCGAGAGACGATATAAACGATCCTATATATATTAATAATATCCTACTTAGTAGTCGGCGTACGAGAGGTCGATATATATAATATAATATATAATAGAGGCTTCGAAAGATATTTACTATAATACGAGAAATTAGTATAAGCTTTAAATACCTCGCTATTATATAGGCTAGTAAAGATATCGACTTATCTTCTTATATAAATATAATACTAGCCCGGCGATAGAAGAAAGTATATAATATCTTTAGAAATCTAGTCGTTTAAGCACTCGTACTATTAACTATTAGCGACTATCGTAAAGAGCTTAATACTCTTATTCGTTATAGTAATTTACGTATCCCTCCTAACCGCTACTACGGTTATTTTAATTATAGTAAAGATCTTAAGAGTCTTAATATCGAACGTACTATTAAGAATCTATAAAATATTACTTCTACGTAGTATAGTATACTCTTAAAAATTATATCTAATTAACGCTTCTATTAACCTAGCTATAGTAGTAAATCTTAGATAGTAGCGATTACGAGGTATATATATACTATTATTAGTATAGTCTATTATTCGCGCTAGCGAATTAATTCGAACTTCTTATAGTTCGCGTTAGATACGTATCTAATAAGCTCTAGAACGAAGCGAAGAGTATTATAGACTCTTAGTAGTTTAAATATATACTATAGATATATATCGGCGAAGAGGTTAATAGAGACTATCGTAGAAGAGATAAAGATACGTATATATCTCGACTTTCTTATCTACGTTACTAGAGAACTAAACTACTAAGTAACTACTAAAAGGTCTTCTCTTAGTACTTAGTATATATTATATATACGTTTCGGAGATATTAACTACTAAGTAACTACTAAGTCGTTCTTCTCCCGGGTTGTCTACGGTTATTAGAGACTCTAACTACTAAGTAACTACTAAGTTATAGTTTCTCTAGTTTTAGCCGCGTTTACTAGAGATATCTAACTACTAAGTAACTACTAAGTAGTAGTTCCCCTAGTTTTACCCGTATTTATCGGAGACTCTAACTACTAAGTAACTACTAAGTAAGAATCTTATTAATATTCGTATATATAGAAGTAGATTAAGCGCTACGTAGCGAATCTATATACTATAATATACTACGATAATATTAATTTTAAAAGTATAGTACGGGATAAGTATCTTAGCTATAAGACGATTATACGTAACCTTATAACTTCCGCGCTTATTATATATCTAGAAATACTAAAGGACGGCCTACGTTAAGATATATACGATTCTACGGTCGAACTCTACTAAAGCGATATAGTAGAGTCGCCTAGTATCTTTAGATCTAACGTCGATAATATTAGTAGTTAAATTATACGCGGTCTTCTAACGAATACTATCGCGAGGGTTTTTCTAAATATCGTTAGAGATATCTTTAAGAATTACTAGTCGCTTCGCTCTTCGATACCGAATATCTATTATCTAGATATATATAAGACGTTATATTAGTAGCTTAGCGCGATCTACGAGAACGAAGAAACTATCTAAGATATCTATAGTATCTATAATAGTATATTTCTATAATATTTTAGACTAAAGAGCCCGACGGATTTCGAGAATCGCCTCTAGCTCGTATATAGCGATTAACTTACGTTATAGTTAATACGAAGTATAAAGAGCTAGTAATATCGCGTAAAAGAGTATTATAATCGATATTAATAGCTACTTAGTATTTCTACTTAATTCTATATTTAGATAAACCTCGTAAATACGCTCGTCCGTACGTACTAGAGTTCTATTAACTATCGCGAAGAGACGGTTTACTATATTAAGTCTAATATTAAGTTATAGGGTCGTAGTTAATATAGTCGAGATAACGCTAAGTATTACTAGCTTAAATCTCTTCTTATCTAAAGCTATACGATTCGTATAGTAATATTATTTTATACTACTATATAGTAGCGCGCGTTACTCGATACTACTAATCTTAGCGATATAGATAGAATTAAGAGCTCGCTCTCTCGTCTATTACTAGATTAGTTTCTTACTCTTATAGACGACGTTTAAAGCTACTTAAGCACTAAGAATACTTAGAATAGATTAATATACGAGGATATTAGCTTTTATATTCTTTATCGATTTCTACGTAAAGTAGAATTACTATTAGCTATACGATATATCGTAAAGTACGTAGACGTCGATCTATTACGATATCTAGTAGATTCGTTAATCGTTTTATTCTTCGGAGCTACGTAATATAATTACGGGTACGAGATAATATACTATTAGTAGCTCCTTAAACTAGCTATCTCGATACTAGATCTCTAAGCTACTATCCTATTATCCGGCCTTATAAATTAGATTAGTAGATCTAATATCTAGAAGCCTATCGATCTTAGACTAAAGTATCTTAATTACGTATATTATATTAAGATAAAGTACTTTAAGAACTCTACGTATAATAAAGATATAGTCTTTAGTCGAATCTATCTCTTAAATATATAGGTACGTAGCTATAAGGCTATAGTCGAGGTAGCTTTCGATAAGTATACGAGCGGGAGCTATACTACTATAATAATATAAAACGAGATATTTAGTCTTACCCGAAAGCTATTTCTCGACGGTATAGGCTCGCTACGGTTATCTAAGAACTTAGTAAGTATCCCTCGAATATTCGACTTAGAAGACGTATTTATAAGATATAAGGCACGAATAGAGAGCTTAAGATAGATATAAGAAGAGAGCTTATAATTAATAGACGAATTCTTAAGAAATTCGGCCTTCGCTCGTAGACCGAAGGGCTTTTATATATAGCTAAGCGAGAGTTACGTAACTAGTACGTAACTTTTATAGATCTCGTATACGAAGCGTATACGAGACGCGGCTATAGATTCTTATACTATCCTCCCTACTATAGAGGTCGACTACGACCCCGTAAAGAATAAAAAAACTCGAGAACCTTATATATCTTTTACGAGGAAAACCTTTCTTATTAGAAAGAAAAAAGCTCGTAGCTAGAGTCGTTAAGAAAATTCCTAGGCGCGGAAGCCGTAGTCTATATTTCTTAGAATATCTACTTTTACCTATATTATAAGTAGGTACGCGGAGTATACTTAACGCGTACGACTATTATACGCGGGTCGGATATATAGCGCTATACGTTAGAATAGTAGAAAAGTTTAATTATTTTAGGCCGTTACGCGGCTTAAAGTATCCGAGAGTAGAACTTTATTAGAGGTTTAGTTTTACGTAGGGGAAGTAGTAATTACTTTCTACGTAATAGCGGTTATTTCGTCTTTTATCTTTTTAAGTTTATAATCGCGAGTCTCGTATATAGCTTAAGCGTTTTAGAACTATTATTTATACGTTCTAGATACGTATAGTATACGCGGCGCGTACTTTCCCCCTAGTATTTCTTCGTAGTAATTATATTAGGCGTATCTATCTTTATAGAGTTTACTACTATTACTCGTAATTCTTAGTTTACGGCTGGGTTTAGTAGCTAGTATCGTTATATCTATATCTATTAGCTAGATAATAGGTTCTTACCCCTTTACGAGTAGTACTTAGGCGTTAGATAGATATAATTTCTTCTATTAGATAGATACGTTTCTATAGAATCTAGGCCTATACGTTTTACGTACGCGTACCGTAGAAGGAGCTAGTAAGAAGCCTTCGTATATTAAGATTCTCTTACGCGATCGTTTTTCGACTCTACGCTATATCTATTTTCTAATATAGCTTTATCTTTAACTTCTTCCCGCGGCTTTATCGCTCGTTCTTTAACGTCTTCTATTACTCTAGAAGCTAGTCCTATAGGTAGTATAGATAAGAAAGAGAAGAAGCTATCTCGTATAAGCTAGCTCGGTCTTAAATTAGCTTAAGATAAAAATAAAGATAAGACTCGGGCTCGCTATAAGTCGTTTAGTATACGAAACGTCTCTTAACGTCGTCTCGTTAATATCCGCGGCCTAGCTTCTTATTAGAAGTCGATTCCGCCTTATTATAAGGCCTTCTATAAACGTTATCTTTTATACTAGGCTTCCGCTTCTTAGATCGATAATAACGTAAAGAATATTATTAAGTAGGACTATATACGTAAGATACCGCTCTCGAAGTACTAGAGATATACTAGAGCGCGGTATAATTATACTTAGATAAGTTTTACTCTATAATTCGTATACGCGTCGTATCTTTAGCTAACTCTTTTCGCCTATCTAGCCGCCTTCTAAGTTTTACCGCGCTATAAACGTATTATCGTTTATACGCTAGTAGACTATTCGTTATAATATTTCTAAGAAGTAAAATCTAGTTCGTAGCTACGCCTCTAAGTATCTTAACTACGTTAAAAACTTCCGCCGGCTCGAGAAGACTCGCGTTAAAAACGCTAGCGGTCTTAAAAAGTATCTATACGCTTAGTAGGTCTCTCGCGACTATAACCTCTAACGTAAGTAGATAAGGGCTTTTTTAACCGTTCGCTTTTACTTTTACTAATTCTTAGTATAGCTTA